TTTTGTGATAAAGATTTGCTTTGCTTATTATAGACAGGTCTGACGGTACTAATTATAAAAATGGCACATTTCAGTATTTGAAAACTGACGCTCATATAATGGTACCGATTCTACAGTTATAATTGTTCGCTACAAAATTATATAACAATTTTTAAAGATTTAATTTCAGGATATTTTGGTTGAAAAACTCCTTTTCATTTCCTCGATCTCATCAATCGTTATTATGTTCTACTAATTAAATCTACATGTCAAATTTCGAATTATCAATCTGTTCATCGGTGTTTTTAAGCCCGAGATAATTATTTCATGGAAATAGAAATAGCATTGCTATATATCGCGTGATTTCCAACTGTGAAATGACGTAGTGACCTCTGGCAATCTTCATCCTTGTCGTATTGGACAGATAACATAAGCTATTGGTGCCTTTGCTGAGGTCTATAGTCCTATGGTATCATCGTTCATCTAACCTTTGTTAATATTTTCCACTGAAATTCTTTTCTGGAACATTTCTTTTTCGCACACTATCGACAAATCTGTGGTGTTTTATATGTAAATGAAAAAGGAGGTTTAGACGTGTGTGAAATAAAATAGGTCATATCTATCTGTGCTCTAATGCCAGATATTTGGAAGGGAAAGAGGGACATGTACTTGTCCTGTCCTAACGAGAATTTACTGTAGGCAATGCTCTATTTTTATTTTGTAAAAGTAAATAAACGTACCTTTAGGGCCATAGATTCTCTACAGACATTTAATATCACTATAAACGCGCGAACGTTGTCGTCAGTTTGTCATTCAAAACTCAGGGATGGTATTATCAAGTAATGATCTAATACCTGGCGTGTCTACCACATTATTATGTATATTACAAGAAAGCAGATATTCTTACATAAAGCTCAGGTAGACAGTCCATTTTCTACAGAACTATCAATCTAAACTGACGGTTGTTGATGGAACAATGTCGGACCTACATGTAAGTTATAACTAATTGTAATATAGCTACCGTTAAGTTTAAGATATATCATTTTGATAAGATATGTATGACATGAAATAGCACGTGAAAGAATACATTAAGTTATATTAAATGTTTAACATATCACTTCTCTTGAACAAATGACAGAATCTCTCGTTATAAGTTACAATTAACAAGTCTTGGAACGGTACGTTGATACGCTTGATTTGCGCCGAGTATGCTCGGTCGAAGATAGATAACTCCTACACTCTAATACCGCAACGTATTCTAATATGTATGCCCAACGCGACAACGCGACATGATCTCGTCACGTTGTCGCGGAACTTTTGTCGCGTTGCGGCTTTAGCGCGTAGATTTTGTCGCATTGTCTCCGTCAACGCGACAAAGCATTATGACCTAAAGCAGCCACGTTATGTAAGGTATGGTGAATGTTATCAGCCATATTGTAGGGCGCCAACGCGACAGTGCGACAAATGTATCGTACCAACGCAACAGAAAGACAATATCACCAGAAAATTGACATTGCACGTCGTGTTTATTTTTTGCCCTACTGTCTCGTTGCCGCCTTCAAAACAAAAACGGAATATAGATAAAATATCCAGTACGCTATGTAAACACTTAAGTCATACCTAGAGATCGCGTCACAAGTACTACATGGTTTACGGTAAGGTTTTTGTACTTAACAATTAATACTGACCTCAAGTATGATCCAATATTATCTATTGGTTATACATATTATAAACCAGGTCAACGATATAAAATTACAATACACTATCCTTTGATATCTAAATTATGTAATAATCGAGTTAATAGTGGTTCAATATACACAGATACTTCCGTATCTAATGTAGGTTATCATATTCACACTAGAGTTTATCGTCTTGATAACGGACAGCTATAAACTACAATCGTTTGCCTGTTTGAAGTTTAGAACGTTATCAGCACCTAAGGTCATTTACTCTAGTGCCTGACTGGTGGTCCGTATGTTGTTCCGCGCTGACACGAGACCAGTCTCGGCTATATATATATATATAGTAAAGTGCTCTCCCAAAGAAATGCATTTAGATATTTCAATAATTTCTTATGAATGTGTGAGACTTTTTAGATGAAGGAACAAATAATATAATATAATATAATATAATATAATATAATATAATATAATATAATATAATATAATATAATATAATATAATATATATATCTTTGGTCTTTGATTTACCTGATTGTTTAGGCAAGAATTCAGCAAATTTTTCATTACATTTCCATAAACAGACATAGGCCTATCTTCGATTTCAGCAGACAGGAATTCAGTCGAGGATATCAGATACATTAACATGTTCAATACTTTTGAAATCTGTTGCAAAAACCACGTAGTTGCATAAAAACATCCAATTGTTAAAACATTGAATGGTATATGTAGATCCATATCTGATATTCAGACATTTTATCCTATCCTCTCATGCTGATTGATGCGAAACTCCAGTGACACAGAAATTACTATTTCCTTCCATAGTAAGACACTTCTCGCTTATATTTATTATTGAACAACTATCAGAAAGACTTACTACAGATACACGGTAGAGTACATGCGAAATAACATATTTATTAAAGTTTTCTCGGCTACATACCTTTTCAGGATATTAATTTTTAACAGGGACGTATATGACAGATATATACGTCCCTGATTTTTAACAAAAAATCATTCAGAAGGACGTAAATATATTTTTTACTCTAATTAAAGGTACGGAAATAGTAAATTAGCACATTTAAGTATAAACGACATACTATATAAACATTCTGTGAACAGAAAAGTTTTCAGTTATAAAATAAGTTACATATATCTGTTTATAGGTCTTCACACAGACTTAAATTTATATTTAGTCCGTGGTCTAACCTACGGATAAAATCATACCGATTTGCTTCGTGGTTATTGCCTTCAGGTTGGAAGATAGCTCACTTATACATTTGTCAGTACCCTTAGTATATACAAATATATACTACTGTTTCGGTTTATAACGCTACTTGTGACAAATTATGATTAAGCCTAGCGGAAAACACGTTTTCCTTGCCGGATATGACAAGTATTCGATGCAATCAATGTATCTTAATTGCATAGAAATGTGTGTTAAATTATGCACTCGAGATTAAAGGGTTTTTGTTCTGTGGGAAAAGGATAAAAACGTAATAAACACACTAAAAACTACATCACATATATGTGTAATGTAAGCATGTACTATCAGCTGATCAAAGACAAGATCAATACATTGATTAAACATTCATGAATTATTTTGTATTATGTAAGAGGATACTTAAAATAAAAATAAAACTGATGTATGCCTTAAATACACTTCACGAAGACATAAGTAAGAAAATTAACAGTCGAAAATCAGATTAACAGGTGCGAGTTTACGAAAATAAACAATCATATGACAGCGCCACCTATCGGTGATAACAAAATTATATGCACGGAAGTGAAGTCAATGCAATGGCGATGGAGGAGTCGACTGAAGAAAACATGATGATTCCAAGGATTGTTACTGACTTAAGATGACAAGTGTATCTCTTTAGCACATATCTTTACTAGGTATGCTAATATCTACAGCTGGTAGGGTACATAGCCTGTCACGGGTCAACAGCTGAAGGGATGCAATGTCCTGAAATAGCTGTAAAATTTGCCTCCCGATCCAGTCTCGGTTGCAGACGTCATAGAAGTTTTAATTCTGGAGACATCATTATAGTTCTTTATGAGATTTTGTCACAGAAATAGTTTTCAGTTTACATTTCTGATTATTCGGGCAGACGATACTACTCGAAGTACGACCACTTTATTCATTTATATTGAGAGCTGTCTCTTTACTTTTTGACATTAATTATAAAGAATGACTCGTCAGGTGTGAACCATGAATTTCTGTTTCATGCGATTTTGTGTTAATTCCTGACATTCTGGTCCGATATGTTTACAAAGCATGTTTCTAATATATCGATACAAACGTTCACATACATGTCAGCTGATATAAGCCAATAATGTTTCTTCCTAGTCTCATTTGGTCTATTGATCAAACTACAAGAATATTAACAACAAGGCAGGTTAATTAATAAGGAATAGTTGATGGTTCCATATTCATTCAAAGATACTGTATGAGATTTAAGTTAAGGAATTCCTCATTAGCTCAATTATTTAAGTAAAAGATTAGTAAATCCGAAGACCCAGGTTCAATCCCTAACAAACAGTGGAGTTTCTGTGTTCAGTCTATAACTAAAATAAACTGAAAAAATAATGGCATGTATTACATTAACACCTGTCTGAAGAATTTGGGAAAGTTATGTCCTGGAATACCAATGAATGCTGTAATACTTCCTGCTGACACAGCAATGGAGATTTTCTGTTTTGCCCAATTAGTAGAATGTATACACAAGATCAGTAAGTCTGATATCTTGTGTTCAATTCATAGCAAAGGCTATGAAAAACACACCCTCTGTCACATTCTATCTCGCTTGATTGCATGTCTTACTCAGTACCCATATAACTTCAGAGAAGTTATTAAAAGTGTCCTAATTTGATGATTGATTCCAGACATTAATTTGCTTGCAGTTGCTAGAGGGAACCAGATGGTTATAGGTTTGAATTCTCGTTACCTGGTAATTCAAATTACCACCAAAGATTCTAACCAAGTAGTCATGTTTTACTCTAACTGTAGACTACTTTATTTGTTGAATTGAAATGTTACTCAGACCTGTGATTAGGTGAATGCCAACATAGAGAATAAAGTTGTATTGTAAAAGAACACTATGTCAGTAATAGTGTTAGAAAGTCCATTAATGTTCTAGATCTCATGTACTTTTAGTTCCAGACAGCTTACTGGACGCCCAAGATGTCGTCATTTATAAAGAGACTTGTTAACACCAAGGGGCCTGCAGAGCCATCTCAGAAAGCCCAAGACAATAGTCTGGCTTTAGCACATCTGAAAAAGCTCTTTGGAGATTTCAAATATCCCCCAAGGAAAACCACACACATACAGGAAGAACAGGAGTCCAAGCTCTACAGCATGATTCCACTGTTTTGTAAGGTAAATGTAAACGATATCAAGGAAAATGATGTTTATCTCTGGTATATATATTAATTGCATTGTTAGAAAACTGAAATGGAGCAAAAAATTGAGGACAAAGAAATGAAAAAAATCACTGCTGCAAGTATTGACAGAGTCTGATTTAGGTCAGCAGTTTATTAAAGAACATATTTAAATTTTCTTTCCAAAAGGAAAACCACAAAGTCAAGAATGATACACTTCCTTGTTTCAGGTTTTTGGAGAGGTGCAGTCATGCGAAATGACTGAAAAATTTGCAGACATCCTTCAGTTTTGCAGTCATCTTTCAAAACTTATGGTGACAGAAATACGAAGAAGGGCTTCCAACCAATCAACAGGTATTTGTCATTGTGTGATAGCATACTGACATTATTGAATGGTTTATTTTGAAATGAATACACATCAGGATGGGGAGGGGGGCTCAAACTGTGAGACACTTTTCTGTAGTCCCCAGCACAATGATTTTTAACGATGGTGCCTAATAAATGTTTATAATGTCAGATATAACCACGAAGACTTATTATACAACTATTATAATATACAGTCCTTGTATTTTGATTTTGGTATAGAAGATAATTGAAATATTTAATAAAAGATATCAGCCTACACACATAGATAATTCCTTAATATTTGTGTCGTGTTATCTTTAGTTTGCAAACAACATTTATCTTTAACTTTTCATAATTCAACATGTTACGTAACTGTATTTGTGAAATTAAATTTTATTTTACTAGCCATTTTATTTTATAAGTTTTGTCAGGTTTTAACATCGTTTTAGGCTTCTTAACTACTTTTGTTTTTATCTTACAGAGGCAGCAAGCTGTGCAATTGTTAAGTTTTTGGAGATTGAATCTACAGAAGAAACCAGTAATGGATGGATGTTGCTGAGTGCATTAAATCTTTTGTCCAGCGGAAGCCAGGCACTCATAGACTGTATGACGGCAGCCTCTCTCCCTTCTACCCTTGTCAAATGTCTCTACCTGTTTTTTGACCTCCCAGATGTTGTAGATGGTGACTCACTGGATCAGGGAAGCCAATTTACAGCAAAAGAAAGACGAATCCTACTACAGAAAGTGTTCGTTCAGGTGATGAACCAAATAATATCAGTAAACCTGCCATGTTTGAGACTTTTAAAAATATTCATGAATGATGTCTGCATATTAGGTTCAAACTGTAGTGTGTATTGAGTTGTGACATATATTATTTGGAAATAAGGAAACAATTTCACAACAATTTTCCAAAAGCATACTCTGTATAAAATGTCAATCTTACATACAGTATTAGGAAATCACAAGGAATTAACCTACATAATTTCATTATGTAAATGAAGAGCATGAAAATTCACAAAAAGTAAAAACATATTAAGTGATGTATTATATTTCTATAGATCCTGGTGAGGTTATGCAATCACCAATCACCAGCTGAGGAGCTGGCAAGGAAGGATGACCTTAGTCTGCTCTTTAGTGCAATAACAAGTTGGTGTCCGGCACACAACACTCTGTGGAGAAAATCAGCTGGAGAGGTGCTGGTTACTCTGTCTAGGCATGGACTTACCACAAATGTGGTGAAATATATACATGGTAAACATAGCTACTACCCCTCCCAAAAAGTATATGCATGGTAAATTTATTTACTGCCCCCCACCCCCCAAAAGAAAAAAACAAACAAAGAACAAAAACAAACCAAAAAACTCATAGTTGCTACCACTCCCCCACTAAAACAAAGAAAAAAAGAAAAAATTAACTGTTGAAAAACAAAAACTTTTGCCTTTATACATTTATCTGCTGGCATAATATTTAACCTCGCTTAGAAATTTATAAGGTGGCCATCATAGTTGTCAACTAAATCTCTCAATTTAAATACATTGTGATGTAATTTTTTTATATTTATTTCTGTTTTTCAGAAAAGGGTTGTGTACGACACTGTATAGAGAACATGCAGCGTATTCAAGAGTTATCTCCACTTGAGCTTGTGGAAATGTTTGTCACTGTGTTCTGTTTCCTAAAAGATTCTAGTGAAGTGTCCCAAACACTATTAGATGATTTCCGTTCATGCCAAGGCTATATATACTTGTCTGAATTTCTCCTAAGGTAAGCACTATTTTACATAGAAAGACATGTTTCATTTTGATTTTAGGTAAATTGCTGATTTTTTTTTCAGGTCTTAGGTGAATTTGAAATTTGATAAGTAATTTATTCAGTGATGTATTGTAATATTATATCTTAAGTTAGTATGTAAAGTGAAAAAAAAAAAAAAAAGATAATAAGATATTACCAAATATGGCTAGAAATGAGAGTGACTGTGTGCACTATTTGTAGGCTGGAACAAGACAAGAATGAAGAGGCCCAACAGGCCTTGAGAAACCTGGTGTTACTGGTGGGCTCTCTCACCACCTGTGGCTTTGTGGAAATCAAAACTAGCTATGGTAGCACAGGGGCTCTCTTCCAAATCCCAGGCTTCTCTGTACCACAACCTACAGGCAAAGGTAAAATCTCTACTTAAGTCTTGTAAGGTGAAAAAGTCAGAAGTAATAAATATTCACGACATACAACATATGCATACTGATGAAATGGCTATAATGCTGGCCTTTAGGAAAGTTGAATGTAACATGTAATCTGTGCATGGTGAAGGCATGAAACTGAAAAGAAATACTTTTCTCTCTGTTTCCTGTGCTTTACATCATAAGACTTCAATCAGCTGTAAATCCTAGAAGTCCCTTATCATATAGACAGTGATTTGAGTTGTCTAACTTGTAATGATTGCAGATACAAAACTTTAGTTTTACCAAAGTTTTCTGGTTTGCTTTGTGCATGATTATAAGAAAATCAATAAGCAATTTACTGTGTTTATAAATCTTCCTGTATATCAGTATCAGCATTTATTGTAAATAATAGTATGGCTTACACCAGAATATTGGTCATACTGTATGACTTAACTGGCCTAGATGGCTAGAATATCTTATATGTAATCAGATATATTGTTAGCCCCAGTCCATCAAAGAGCTTCTTTGATTTGTCTCCAGAATATTTCCTTACACAGGACTGCTTGCATTAAACATTGATACTCCAGGGGTTACGATCACTTTTGCTCTCTACACCCTTAGAACATGTCATGGCAAATTCGAAGGCACAAGTGAAGTAATTTGATTGGTTCTAGAAGAAAAAAAAAAGACCAATGACAGGCTGATATGCTCCTTTTAAATATTATAAAGGAGAGGCACCCAACTTAAAAGTCATTACAATATACCATTGATTGATGCACATCAAAGGATCAAACTTCATGTAGTTTTTTCGTCCACAAGGTGTCGCACACAGACCCTTCGATTTTGACATTGGATGTGGAATTTAATAAGTATAAGTTGCAGAGAGGAATTGATATTAAATCTTTAAGCTTGTTTTCTTTTCCTTTTTTTCATATACAGACAGTATTTTGTGTTAGAATTAGTTATGTTTTAATGTGGGAAATAGAATATTATTCAAACTAAATGTAATGTACGAGGTGATTGTGTATTTGATTTTTATCTGTGGTAACTTCTTTTAAGCTTATGTTGCCATGCTACTTAACACCGGGATTAATAGAGGGTTTAAGTTCTTCTTATTTTTTTCATTTGCTTATGTTGTTGAGTTTATTTTGTTATGTGACTACAGACAGACATGTGAATGCAAGTCCAAGTTGCAGTTGAGTTATTTTTTCTCGTATTTTCACATCATGATGATATTTAGTACACATTCTGCAGTGTCCATTTATATTCTTCCTTATGAAAATCATGTTCAAAAGCTAGATGAAAAATACTGTCATTAAGAAATTTGTCATGTTTTCCAATATCTGATTAGAGTTATGAAGCAATTAAGATTCACATAGATGTGTCAAATTTCATCAGTTACTGCAGATTGTGTCGCTAATATCAGCAGCTAGATCTTTACAGTCTGTATATAGCAAAATCATAATCACAAGGACATTCAGCATTAGCACACAATTGTAATGCTTATCATCATTAAGTGGTGTGCACAGATATACAAGTATTATTCTATTTCTGGTACATCAGATAAATTTTTGCCTCTAAGCACTTTGGGATAATTAAGTTATAGGCCTCTATAATAGGTTTACTAGACTGTTCATTATACTGGTATGCTTGTGTTTCTATATGTATTCAAAAATCATATGTTCTTTTCATGGTGAAGGGCATAACATATATCCATGTACCTGTGTATAATATTTACTTCATTTATTTCATACAGCATATAGGTTTTAACTTTTAAGTTGATACTATATTTCACCAGAGTTGTATGGTAGAGGTACACAATGATTTTTTTTGGGGTGGTGTGGTGGGGGGCGGTGAATTCATTATATCTGGTTTCCCTACTAAAGAAATGATGTCTTTTTCAAAGTCTATCTTTAAATTACTAGAACAAAACAATGTATTTATCCATTTTAAATTTGTACTCATAACAAAGATAGTTGTAAAGAAAAAATCACTGTTACCTCTATTTTAAATACAATGTACTAACATGCAGTGTGGACAGCATGAAGGGAAATAACTCCATAGAAAAATAGACATAGATTTAATTAGTACCAAATGTAATTTTCAAATCATATTTAATACTGACAATCTGATACCATCATTCTGTATAATTAGATTGTTAATTTTCAGTTACTTTAACTTCACTTCAATTTAATTTCAAATGGATTAAGGTAGATGTATAACTAAGTCACTAATTTGCAATTACTTAAACTTAACTTCAATTTAATTTTAGTATATTAATAGAGTTACATACTTCATTGAATAAAATTAATCATGGAGTAATTCTGACTTCGAAATCTTAATCCGGTTAGACCTATATCTGATTAATTTTAATTACCTAATACATTTATGAAATTAACATGTTTTTACAAATACTTTTATTAAATTTTGTTATATGGTTGTGCACTATTACATCAGGACTTGTGGAGAATATGGTACAAATGTAGTTTATGGTAAATGAGGCTTATGCAATTTTTTTTTTCAGTTTATCTAGCACACATTTTGTTTTCAAGAGTATTAAATCTTTTAATATAGTTTTGAAATGGACTACTTTTGATTTTTTTTTGTTTTTGTTTTTTGTTGTTGTTTTTTTCGCAATACCAGTTAAAATACATTGTACTGATTCACAGGTGTGAGTGTACGAAATATCCAGGCATTCCAAGTGTTACAGTCTGTGTTCATCAAGGTGAGTACTCTGAAGAAATTGCATGTGAGACCAAAGACTGTTCTGATGTGAAGGTGTTATGAGCAGGTTAATAATTGAGGTCTGTTTTTCATGTCCTCGCCTTTATTTCATTGTATTTTTGCATTTCTTTTCAAGGAGACTGATGAATTGGAATCATCACTGATTACCAATTCCTCAGCAGGAAGCATTCAGGGATGATAGAGATTTTTACCCATGTCATGTCTGAAAATCTCATTAACAGAATATGCTTTATTAGTCCCCTGCCGGTGAAACCGGAGGGGATTATAGTGTTTGTCTCCGTCTGTCCGGATGTTGATTTCCAGACGATAACTTGAGAACAGATCGATGGATTTGTATCAAACTTCATACAATGGTAGTTTATAAGGCAATATAGTGTGGGAGTTTGTTTGGGGTCAAAAGATCAACTACAAAGGTCACTGTTACTAAAAATAGAATCTTGTCACAATTTAGTTTTCAGTCAATAATTTGAGAACGGATTGATTGATTTGGTTGAAACTTGATATACTGAAAGCATATAAATAATAAAACAAGACACTTCTGATACAGAACAAGTTCTACATTACTTGAAAAAATAATATATTTATACTGCAATTAGATCATGGGGCCAATGTATGAACTCAGATCCATAGTAAAGGGTTAGCTTATTCCAAACAGTTCAGTACCATTTGCTCCCATTTGCTTTACAACAGAACTTTGGTGGGCTTATTAGCAGACATGGGCTTATTTGCTGGTAAATACAGTAATTTACGGCAGGGGACATGTGTTGCATGCAACACTAACTGTAAGCTTGTTATATAGGGAAATCACATCCACTTTCTGCACAACCCTGGAAAATCTTTCAGAATAATCGCTGTTTAGATAAATCACATTGGCATAATTTATAAATTCATTTACATTAACATAATATCCATATATTGTTTGCAAAATTAAGTGCACATAAGTATCAAATATGGGCAAATGGCAAATAGTAAATCTGATAATTAATATCAGTTTTAAAAAGTTGACAAGCAAAACAAAAGAACAATTCAAGTTACTGATTGTTTATGATGATGTATGATTTCAGGCAACAACAAGCCCTTTGTGCCTGATTGTCCTCGACGTTATCAACAGCATCTACCACCAAGACAGCGCTAACTATTTTATCCTTGAACCACAGCACACACTCTCGCAGTTTGCTGAGAAAATCCATTTAAAACCAGTAGATGTCCAGGTAAAGCTTAAGTGTAAATAACAGTTTTCAGTGTTAGACACTACACTTGTAATCACAATGTCCCTCATACAGAAAAACAAAATAAAAGTATGACGATCCAGTAATGGTGTTATATAAAAATATATTGCTTTTATGTATCAACATACATATTTCTCATTTCTGTTATGGTACTTTGAAAATGGTTTTGTATTACTGGTATACATGCAATAATTTGGTTTTGTTTATTTACAGGAAAAATTCTTTGAATTGCTAGAGTTTGTGGTTTTTGATCTCAACTTTGTACCCTGCAAGGAGCTGATATCTGGCAGTATCCTCATCAAAGGCAATCAGTGAGTGCTGAAACTTTTGTGACTTCAATTACCATTATTTTGAATTTGTCTGATACAGAAACTTGATCAAAATTGTCCCTTTTAAGAGACAGATAATGAAAAGTATCATTTTGTGATTGTAGTTCCATACGATGCAGTATCCTGTGTATGAAGACATTACAGCGTGTACTACAACACCATGCTGTTTATCGTGAGGTTTTCCGAGAGGTGGGCATGTTAGAGGTCATGGTTACCTGTTTACATAGGTATGCAGCCCTGCTAAAGGATCCAGAGGATGAAAAAGGTAAGATCCTCTACAAGTTACACTACTACCTGTCTACATAGGTATGCAGCCCTGCTCAAGGTTCTAGAGGATGAAAAGGGTAGCATACTCCAAAAAGTCCACTGCAAGTCCTTTACAAGAAGGGTCCAGATACTGATATAAGGTACTTGCTCTACAGAAAATTTTGATTGTTTGGAGATTTTCTGTCTACAACAGGTATATGACAAATCAGTCCTCATTATTCAGGTGCTGACAAGTTAATTATATTCAATAAATTTTGGACTGATGATGATATTTTATTTCAGAATTTTTTGTTGTGATCTTATCAACAAAGGGAATAGGGCAACAGGTAAAACCCATGAAAGTCCTCTCTTAGAATGATATCCCTGATAAGGATATGAGTTAGAAACTTATCAGATCTGTTTGGATATGAAACCTCTTTGTATCTGATATAGTATGAGCTTTGTATTGTTTTGTACTTCATTTCTCTCAAAATACAGCTTAAAACTGTCTTGACTTCACCTAATGAATTTTTAATGTGTACATTCAAGCCTGAAGATACATTGATTAATTTGATGTGGTTGTATTCTTTCTTAGTGAATGAGAAGATGGATCCTGAGCAACAACAACTGGGCTTCCTCGTCATGGACTGCCTCACTATCCTGCTTAGTGCCAACAACAATAATGCTGGTATGTTTGTCATCATTATCATTTCAGTAAAAATATAGGCTAAGATGTTAAAAGCTATCACTGTAACACAGGTTCTTCTTTCTTGAACCTTCATTTGTATTGCCAGTACGGTATTGTGTTTATTTAATTCATTCTAAAACTTTCATTTGTAATGCCAAAAGAGTATTCCAGATTCAAAAATCTCATACTCTGTATGATCTGAGCAAAGGAGTTGTGCAAGTAATTGATACTAAATCTGTAATACATTCATGCATTGGTTTTATTTCAATATCTAAGAGCTGAGGACAATTTCCCAGCACTACAGTAACTAGATCATATAATGTTACTAATGTTATATCTTGAGAACCTCTCAACAGATTTGGTTCATATTTACCCCCATAGTACTCATATCTTACAGACATTTTCTAGTTATTTTTTAAAAAACGTTTTGTACCACAATGGGATTTTCTTTGTCAATATGGTTTTTAAAATTGGAATAATCATTGAACCATGCTTATCTTGTGTAAGATGTTTTAAGGTAGCTGTGTTTAATCACCATTATAGATGAAAGAAATATGCACTTCAGACCTTGATTAATTGAATCCTTGGAGCAGTCATAATATCTGTCTTTATGGTCATACTGTTTTATAGCGGTGTTCAGGGAATGTGGAGGAGCAAGATGTGCACATAACATGGTCACCTTTCCTCAATGTCGCCATCAAGTCCTTGGCATCATACAACAACTGGTGCTGTCCCCTGGTGGTGATGATGACATGGGCACACTACTCTGTCTGATGCACACAGCACCAGTCTTAGCCCTAGAACTCAAAACACACATTTTGAAAGTAAGTTGAGGTGAAATATGCACAGATAAATGTTCTTATTATAACAGTATTGCAGAGAAGATAATTAAGACGTGACGTAAAAATGTTTTTCGCTGGTTGCAATTTTGAAAGTATCCTAAATGTCATGTTATTGAATAAATTCCTGAAATATGATAATTTTCTTAAGAGTATTCCTGAAAAGCAATATTTAAGTAAAGAAAAACAACCGTTATTCACTGTTTTTGTTAGAAGAAAATTTTGAATTAAACTTTTACCATTTGCAGTCCTTGCTACATGTATTGAGAGAAAGTCACCGTACAAGGACAGTGTTTAGGAAGGTGGGAGGATTTGTCTATGTAATGTCAGTGTTGGTTTCTATGGAGGGATGTCTAGCAGACCCACCCAAAATGCCCTGGAGTACAGGTTTGTATATATGTTGGACAATATTAAAAATAAGTTTCCTTATTATTTTCCTTTGTTAAAGGGTTAAAGCTTTCTTTAATACAGAAATTCTTTTCTCAACATCAATTATCTAACTGTTTATCCACAGTGTCCCGCCATGAAGTTCTGGGCATGTTACGAACTGTTTTCAGCACCCTCACAGTTGCCATGAGATATGAACCTGCAAATGCAAAGTTCTTTGATACAGAGGTAAGCTGCCATTGAAATTTTATCACAATCTTTTGCATCCAGTTTATCATGAAATATGGAGCATGCCAGGTAGTAGTTGCTTTTTTTTAAACAGTGATAGTTTGAACTAGTATGTTGTTTATCCTAAATTGGCTTTCTGCAGGAAAGTGGTGTATATCATGAAATGAGACATTGATACTGTTCTTTGTGTTTGACTATAATATGATTTCTTGTTTAGGTGCGCTATGACAGCCTGACAGAAGCAGTACGTTTACTGGGATGTTTTTCTGGGACCATTGACATCCAGACAGCCATGGACTTTATCATAGAAGATGAAGAAACAATTACTGCAGTTTTTGAGGAGTTCTTTGTTCACACAAAAGAGAACAGGTAAAGCCATCTTTCTTCCGCATATGACTGTCGGACTCCCTTGATTTTGAACCAGGAACATTTCCCAAAATTACTTAGAAATTTTCTTGCTTTGTAAGTTCCAGATATTTGATAAAGTGATTCATTTAGACAAAATCTGTATTTCTAGTATTTGATTAGGAAATAAACAAATGAATGTTTTCCTTTCAGACTGGAGACAGAGGTTCCTATTACATTACTGTCGGCCTGCATCATGCTGAAATATCTCTACAACATGGCACTGGATATATTTGATAAGTATGTACACAACTTTGACAAAAAGTATGTTATAAATACAAAGTACTCAGTCAAATTCATTTTAATAAGCAATGATTTGTAAACAAAGTTGATTTCTTTTTGAAATAAAAAGAGAACGAGAACTTGTTTATCCTGCATTAGTGAAATTTCAATTTAAATGCATTTTGATCAAATTCAAATTTTTGTTGTGGAATTTTGCTGGTAAACTAAGTGTAATAGAGAGTTACTGAATAATAGGCACCTCATTGGGAAATATTTAGTGAAAAGCTGTGTGAAAATACTAGGAAGAAAAATCTAACTGTTTAACACTTTATTTACTCTGGGTACAGGCCTGGTGTTGGGGGAAGTCAAACACAGGCCTCTGACTCTCCAGCTTTGAAACGCTACACCATGCTACAGTCTTCCCGAGATGATAGCGTACCGACATCACCGAAACCCAAGCGGGCATCCACAGGAAGCATCACCATCTCCCCTACCACCAACCAAGAACAAGTGATTGTACACCCTGGGGCTGTACTCTCCATTTTTCACCTCCTCCCAGCCATAGAGCTGGAGACTAACTCCAGGGTTAGTATCTAATTTTTACCTATGCCCACACTGGCTTAGAATGGGAATTCAAAGGTATCCAAATGTTAATCTGACATTTGTAACCTCATCGGGTAAATTTGATTTACAGATGATCTTGTCTAAGAGTGCCGTGATGTGGGAAATCACTGTATTGTAGTGTCTTTGTAGTTGAAAATAATAATGAGAACTACAGTTCACTAAATTTCCAACCTTTTGTGAGGGAAAATTTATGTAAAAGCTGTGAAATAACAGTTCATTAAACAATGTAGCAGTTAATTAAACAATACAACAGTTAGTAAATATGTAAGTAATCTGAATCCCTTTGATTTCCTGTATTTTGTTTCTAACAGCTGACTTTATCCCTGAAGCTGTATACTGCTAAACTGCTGCGAGCCCTCTTACACACCGAGCGTAATCAACAGATCATGTGTGAGAACGGCTTCCCACATGAGCTGCTTAGTCATGGTTATGTGGCTCTAGCAGATGAGCTGCACCCCTTGCACTCCATCCTGAGGGCCATGTTTGAAAGGCTGGCTGCTCAATCACTTACACCTAGAGATCTGAGGTAAACCAATGCTTAGCTTGACTTTTCATATTGCAGTAAAGTGTTGTAAATGCTTTTGGTACAGATATACTGATGGTTCACATTTATCACGATAGGTAGGGTTATTAATATTTTCTTGCATTGTGTTAAACCCCGTTTTTTTGGTTTAAGGAAAAAGTAATTACTTCTGTGAATAAGATAAGACTTGAATAAGAGAAATTTCTCTCTCTAATAAAAAAAAAAACAACAGTGGAATATAAGTTGTTGGTATATTCAAGGACTCTAATAACATGGTCTGTTTACAGGGATTTTTCCCGGTTAGGGTCCCCATTGAACTGCCAGCCAGTGGATGAGATGTTTGATGGCCCCACTCACAAGACCTGGAACCACAACTGGCCTCTAAGTCGTGCGCCAAGTATAGAAGAGCGACGCACACCTGTGGAAGTAGTCAAACACCTCCAGACAGCAGGAGGTGTTGTACCACTCACGAGGGTCAAATGTCTGGTTTCTATGACAACCCCAAAAGACGCTAGAATGCATGGGTTGGCAGTGACACCAGCCTTTGTGGAATTTGACATGAGTGCTGAGGGCTTTGGGTGTTTATACCTGCCAAGTATTGCACCTCAGGGCCCTCCCACCCCCTCTGTGGTATCAGGAGTGGTGGGTGGATCAGACCCCATAGTGATAGGGGGAGTAGGGACAGGAGAGAGGGTTTTCCCTCCTCAATCAGGCATGACATTCTCTACATGGTTCTGTGTGGATAAATTTTCAAGCACAAGTGACCCACACCCGGTACGCCTGCTGACCATTGTACGGAATCTCCAGGGGAGGGAGGAGAATCTCGTTTGTCTGAGTGTCATGTTAACCTCGAGAGAGCGTTCTCTTATTGTATCAACACAAGAATCAACATTACCAAACACAGGTATAATCATCTCTCTTCATACAAAAACTTGAATTTTACCAAGTAGTACCAAAAATATTAAACTAGAGCCTGTTAAGTTTTAAATGGTGTATTCTTTTTTCTGTCTATTTCAATGATATCTTTAGCGTTGTGAATTTGTGGTCAATTAACATAACAGAACATTAACTTGTTTTATCAATAATCACATTGTTGAGACAGTTTGATGGTAACAAATGCTGATTGATGTCTTTGTTTCACTAACCTTCGTGGGGTGGTTTTTTGGTCATTATACACACAGGGTCTGTAATCTGTAATCTTTTCCATTAAAGCACCATTTATTCTAAAGCTCTGTGCAGATTTGATCTTAATAAACATCAGTGGGGAAGGCAATCATTTCTAATGAAGTTGATGCAACCTCTTTAAAATGCTACTGTTCCTTAATGCTTTAGTGGATTTTTAACCAAGCAAAGCACAAAAGCAAAAATGTAGGTAAAATTTAACTTTAAAACACTACTTCTCTGGATGTTAAAATGTCAGATGACTGTTAGGGTTTAAAGGACTCCTGTATTGAATATATTACATAAAGGTAATTTGCTTCTCATACACATCCATCCAGAGCTAAGGGTCCCAGGATCAAGTCCTGGTCTGTCATTACATTTGCATTTTTATGTGTTTGTATCAGCGTAGTCATTATTCAAGATAGATTTGATATGTATTGAAATGATGGCTGATGTTCATATCTTGATTTTTTTAGTAACTGGGGTTGAAAACGAGCCAGAGCCAGTTTTAAATGACAACACGGTGCGGTTTTGGTATCCAGAGTTAACACAGGAAGGGCAGTGGCACCACCTTGTGTTGATATTTCACAGAGCTGGGATTATGAAAAACAGCAGTGTCAGCCTGTTTGTCGATGGGGACCATGTCAACACCCAAAAAGTAGGTTGAAATCATGGACTTGAAGATATATGTATTAACGGTAAAACTACTGAATTGTATGACAAATGCTATATACCACATGAAACACTCTTTTTTTGATATTTATCTTTTTTACAGCTAATTCAGTATCATGAATCCAGAATAAAGAAAATCAGAAGGAAAAAAAATCAAATAAAAAACTCAAATTTACATGCAAACGCTGACTACGAAAACTGTTTTCATTCACAAAAACCTGTTTCAATGACATTACCAAGGATAATTTCATTTTATACATAAATAGATTTCTAAACCATTTTGGAATTCAAAAAATCTTTTGGAATTTTACTTGGAAACAAATGTCAAGTTCTAATGTCCACAAAACATAATACAAAGATACTTTTAAGAGAAGTCTACATTTTCAATTTAGAAACATGTATTTTAGTATATTATTATGTTTTTGACAGCTTCACTACATCTCTCCCAATCTGGGAGGAGGCGGTACCGCTAGCCCCACTGCCTTCACATCTGTGTTCGCCTACATTGGCAGTCCACCCCAATTACGTAGAAATTCCCGCCTAACCTGGAGACAGGGCCCTTGTCATCTTTTGGAGGACATTGTCACTCATGCTGTTGTTGCCAACATTTACAACCTGGGGCCCACATACCTAGGCAGTTTCCAATCACCTGTTCTTGGTATGTTAAGAAGTGTTTTATTTTTAGTTCTGCATCAAAGTGCAAGTGTTTTTTAGTAATCAGATTGCTCATCTGTCTGTCTGCATTTTCATTTCCAAACATCTTTTCAGAATTCAGAATACCAATATTTGAGATATTCTACATGTTAAAACACATGTGATATGTAGATATGTGATAGGTTCATTTTTGTGTAAATGCAACAGTCTCAAAGTCACTGTATAAAATGTCAAGGTCATATTTGTACTTTCTCTTTATCATAACATCCAGACAATACTGAAGCATTATTGTTAGAGGCATTGCACTCTGACAAGTCATGTTTCTGGTTTTTATTAGATTCAGATTTCAATCTAAATACTATACTTCTGTGTGATGTTGATGTGATCACTGGGATGATTTCATGATGATAAATGTTGAAGACACATCCAATACACCTGTATATGCCTTTATTCTTACTTATTTTGAAAGGTAATCTCAATTTTTGTTTGTTTGGGGTTTTTTGCAGAAGACATTGACACAGTAATTGCCCTGATTGCAGAGGAGAAGGTTGTATTTGGTGTCCATGCACATGCAGTACTCCAGATGACTATTGCCAAAATCAGAAAAGTTTACAACAAAGTGGATAGCAAGTCAATTGCCAAACAGCTGGCAATGTCAACCCATGATAATGCCACACCCATCCGTCTTCTCCACAACTCTGCTGCTCACCTCAGTGGCCTGGCCCGGAGTCTGGGGGCCATTCTCATTGGCTATCTGGGTAAGGCCGCCCGGTCATGCATTCATATAGGGGATGTATATCTTATATAATTGACTGAACCATCAATTAATAGTTTACCTTGTTACATTACACGACAGCTGTAGAAATCAAGAGTACATGTCACTTACAAGTTTTAGCTACTGTTAGTGTCCCTTTAGCCTAGTTGCAGTTTGTCGACCTTGAGAGCAAGATGTTGTTAGTTGATGAAGTTATGTGTTCTGTTGATATGTTATTTGTTTTTCAACTGTTTATGCAGCATTTACATTGCGACTTCCTATTGAGATGCTTGTATATTATACATATTAGGTTATTTATTAAATAACATTTCTTGATTCTGTAGGAGTAAGAACCTTCTGTCCAAGACCTGTCGCTAAGATGCTAGAAAATGTAGGAGGTGCTTCTGCTTTGCTGGGACTGCTAGCCATGGCAACCGATGTGGAAGGGCTTTACGCAGCAGTCAAAGCTCTTGTCTGTGTTGTCAAAAGCAATAAGACTGTTCTCAAGGATATGGAAAGGATACAAGGTTATCAGGTAGGACCTAGAATGTAAAGCTACTAGAAAATAGATAGGATTTCTCAATGTAATGAACAGCATACTGGTAGAAGAGGTCTGATATTCTGTTAGTATGAAGTTGAGAGATTAATTATGTCAGTCTACATTGAGGCAAAAAATTAAACAGATTTAAATCAATGAAATAGATAATTGAAATTTGGTTTATTTCCTTGTCATAGACTCTGGCCATGCTGTACAAGAAAAAGCAACACCTCCTGAACAGCCACATCCTTCACTTGACTTTCTCCCTGATTGGCACAGTGGACAGCGGCAAGGAAAGCTCTGTCATACCAAACAGGAAAGCCTTTGAGGACCTCCTTTGTGATTTGGAGGTATGACCACATCATAGGGCAGACTCTCATGGACAGAATTGAAATTAATATTTTAGTGTTACATATGTACATTTTGAAATTACTGTAGACACTAGGACTTAAAGGGGAAAAGATCTTAAAACTACTATGTTGAACTAGTGCAAATTATTCTGTTGTTTTAAGGCACTTTTGAATTCCTTTAATTATTAGAGAACTGTAATCAGGTCAGACTTTAAAATTTAGGTAATGAGAAGTATATTTCATCACTTAAAATGAAATTTCTAAAAAAAACTTTAATAAGTTTACAAAATATTCATGATGCAATCGCTCTTCAGTAAATAGACTAGAATCCAGTCAAACCTAACTCTAATGTTTTTCTTGTTTTTTTATGTCATAAGTGTGATGTAAATCATTTTCAGTATCAAACCTACACCTCTATATTAGGAGATTTAAAGATATGGTTTGTCATTATTGTAGGTGTGGCATGAAGCTCCGTATGATCTTCAGCGTTCACTATATGAACATTTCTATGAGCTGCTGACAGAATCAAGGTATGTTATGGATTTTTTTATAGACATTAAATGCTTTAATATCAGTACAACTTTTATTTATAAGCCAGTGCATGTTATACAGCTATTGCATTTTTCTTTATTTTTTTAATTTCATTTTGCTGATAAAGGTGCATTTTACCTTGAAGAATGATGCTACCTTAAGAATCCTAGAATGATTTTTTGCTTTTTATATTTCATTTTGATGTTGGCATGAGTTTTTGGATGTTATTTTATAAGCAATAGACACACTGTGCGATGCCAAAATGTGGTTCAGTACAATTTTTCTACTATATGGCTTGTTCCTTTTAAGCTGAGCACTGATTTTCCCGACAGTACATTGACATGGACATGCCAAAACTAAGTCTTCAAATTTGATTAAATGCAGAAATTTGTTCCAAAATTGTTTTTTTTTAATATTTGGTTTAGATTTTCAATAAAAACATCTATTTCCTATTTGATTCCTCCTTGAAGGCACAAAGTCTCACAGAATTTTACAAATAAAAGAACCTTAATCTCGTACAAAAGAGAAAACAGTGTGTATATCATTTTGATTCTTACAGCATGTTAGGGTCAGTCCTTACTTGGCAGGAACTTAAAAATTTAATGTGGTACACATTTGTTAAGTCAAAGCTTGACATGAGGACACTGTGGTAGTAGGCTTTGTTATAACTATTAGTGCCTGTTTTTCCAGAGTTGAGAAAGTATATGGCAAATAGCAAAAAAGTTTATATTTTGTGAATCACTGGGAGACAGCTATGCCGTAAACTATAAGCTCAAATTATTATCATTTTTACTCGCTAAAAATCAATAATAAAAATCATAAGATCACAAAAAATCCTATTGCCACTGTGTAAAGAAATTCAACGATTAAGTCTGTGAAATTTACCTACAGTATATAATGGTGTTCTCGTTTTAGCCGCTTGATTCATCCAAAGAGGTGGGTAGTAGATGAGTGTAGTGATTTCCTGTTAGTGCTGATCATTCCCATTGTAGTTGACCAGTTTTATCTGATGCACTTCTTGACAATTAGTTCAACAGAAAATCAGATTAGTTAAAGTCAAACTGTCTCATGGAAATCAATTTGGAATCATTAAACAATGAAAAAAAATTACCAATACTGAACTAATGCTGGAAAAGATCATATTATCTTAAAATACAAATATATTTTATTTCTGACTCAAAGTCAGGGTGGGCTTAATATCAGAAAATGAGATGAAGTCTGCTGATAGCAATACCGAAGAGTACCTAATAGAAATTAATTAATTATTACTGAAATATTACAGTATATTTTGACATTTGATATCTGTGTTGTCTTTTGAAATGAAGACCCTATGGCTAAGTTAATATCAAGTAGTGCTACAGATATAACAAGTCCAGGGTAAGAAGAATCTGTATTAATTACTGTGTGTATAATCTATATCCATCCATATTTATGGCTGACGGGATGTGAATAGGTAACAAATCAAAATATCATTCTTGGAAATGTATGATGTATTGGGAATTTTCCTGAATTTAATAGCAACATTATAACCAACCTATATAATTGAAAACCTTCTTTAAAAAATCATTAAAAGGCCTTACTGAAACTAAAAATCATTTTATTAGCTCAGTGAGCTTATGCCATGTCACGGGATCCATTTTCCATCTGTCATTTGTTAAAACATTTAAACAACTTCTTCACATGAACTGAAAAGCCCAGGTCCATAGAGCCTCTTGTTATAAAACAGCTTACAAGAACTTATAACCTATGCTACACTCATTTCACATCAGATTTTAAATCCTAATTTAATTTTTAAATCCAGACTATAATGATTGGAATGGAATATTACGTTGGGATAAATTAGATATATTTGTTAAATAGTAATACATATTGTCTGTCTGTTTACTGGAATCCTTAGCTTTTATCATTTAGACTGTTTGATAGATTTATCCAAACACAGTTCACTAGCGACTCATAAGTAATACACTGCACACATCTTGCTTTATTTTCTCTGCACATATTTCACATTTATCTTTGTATTTCATTTCCTGCTTTACTTTCATTACATTGTTAATGTATCATTAGGATAAAGTTAAAATTGAACAAAGTTGTGTTATGAATTAGACACTGAAACAGTCATCAATGAATCTTAATATCACCACATTAAAAGTGTGTTATATAGTCATCTCTGACTCTGCATTTTCTTTGGATTCTTGTATGCAATACTGATTAGACCGATAACAGCAATAAAGTATTACGGTTCATGATTCTGTCTGAGTGAGAGGACGATCACTACAGGTGTAATACAAATGACATGCCCACCACCGCCTTTGAGTGTATTTCAGGTGACACACAAACTTCCTTGTCAAAATGTATTCAAGTGACATATCCATCACTTTGTTGAAGAGGATTATTTGCTGATAAAGTGTGCAAAGTATATAATTATACCATTTAGTCTTGGCTGAATCTGTCCTCATGGACAAAGCCAGGTGATTGACATTGGTCCTAGCTCAGCTTCTTTGGCTAAGAAGAGGTTATGTACTCCAGCAGGCAACCTTATTTTCTGCAAACTTGGAAAACGATTTTGCTTCTACTTTTGTATTCTGTTGTGTAAACTAAACTATAATTTCACAATCTCTACACACACATCTTTGACATTACACCAGGGCTGTTCCTTTGGGTAATATATTTTTGTAATTATTAAAAATGGTATGCAGTCTCCATTTTCTTTGAGGACATCTTGTAAATATTTTCACAAACCATCAATAAAGATTTTGTATGTGAACATAGAATTAATAGTCACCTGACCTGTTTACCAGTAATAGTCTATGATCCTGCCATATTTGTATACTAAACATAAACAAATAGATCTCAAAGGGAGGTTTGAATAAGGCTGATCGCAAAAAGGATTTTATGATACATAAATGTCCATGCAACTGCCTTAATTACAAACCTTTGTCCAGTTATTGTGCGGAAGTTTGTTACTGTTGAGCATGTTCCCACTGATGATAATGCCTTTGTTTACTAGGTGGACGGTGCACAGGTAAGATTATGTTGGTGTTTACACTTGGGTGTTGTGCATGGCTAGTCATGGTTTGCAGCAGCTTGTTTGGTTTGATGCCTCTACTGAAATAATTGTGTAAAGGCCATTAGTGAACATGTGAACATTTTATGAAGTGCTCTAAATATCTATAATTTATTTCATGCTGTTTAAACAATAAGGCTGAATTTGTTTAAAAGATGTCAAATATGTTTCATTTCAGTGCTTCGTTCTGAATAATTTATCGGCAGAATAGCAGATTTTAGTTTATTTTGCTAAGAACTGCATTAAACTATTATCATTGTTAATGATTTGGATCATCATCACAATTTTATACAACATATTCACAATTTACAAAATTGATTTTCTTTCCTCTAAAATCTTAATGCCTTCACTCCTTTTAGTCACGCAGAAAAACACTTTGCTTATTTATCCCGAATCTTTATTTAGTTATAAAGATAGTAAGATACATCATATTCATTGTATTTCACTCTTATTTTCAACTAGACAGGAATTCCCCAAGAAGTAGATTTCTCTAAAGAAATTTTCTAGATATAGTATGATAGTTGATAGTTTCAATTTATTCCAAGATATGAAAGTGTAACGTTGATGATTATGTAGTTTAGAAGCATGTTAATTAGACCATTTTATTAAAAGATATTTTCTACAGTTTCCTTTCTAAATGTTTTACTGGAATTTCAGCCGTTCTGATTTTGTTATATGATAATCATGAACATATTACAGTATGGTTTAGATACATAATCCAATTAATAAAACTTTGAGTACATACAGGTGTTTTAGTGGCAAGGTTACTTGATATATCTCTATTATATAATCCAATTAAAATCATGGGCACTGAATGAATTTCCTGTGTTGATTATTTGTAAGTCATCTACAGGACTTCAAAATAGCATTGTTTATTGTAAGTAGTAGAAAAGAGACATAATAAGTAGTTTTCATATCATTTAGCAGATAATCTTATGTCATTGTCAAAAGTCTTGAGGTCATCCAAAATAACCAGAATGTAGTAGGCAATAGGTAGCTGGACAAACTGCTCTTTATGTGTTAGTTGTGTTGGAACCTGTTCATAGAATCATTTTGGAACAATTTATATTTGGAAACAATGCTTCTATTGTAGTGTGCTTTCATGTAGGTCAGAGGTCATGAAATGTAAAATCAGCAGAGATGTTTGTAAAAAATTTATAAGCCCCCTGTCATCATATGATGGGCAATTCTATCACCCAACATCTGTGGTCCATGGTCCATTGTCCATCATCTTTCAGGAAAACAAAATGACTAACAGTCAGCCATCTTGGATTTTGACAATGAAAGTTTGTTATCACTGTTTCTTGAGAAGTTCTGGATGGATCTTCTCTAACTCCATATGTAGGCCCCCTTGGTCCCTCTTTGTTCTCTTTTGATTTTGGATCTGATCAAAAAACAATTGACTGGCAGATGGCCATTTTTGATTTTGAAAATGAAAGTTTGTTATCACTTTTTCTTCAGAAATGCTTGATAGGTCTTTCTCAAATTTAAAATGTAGGTTCCTTTGTCTCCAAGTTGTGCCTTTTTGATTTTAAGACTGATCAGAAAAACAAAATAGCTGATAGGCGACCATCTTAGATTATACAATTATAAATTAGTACGTTTTCATAGAGATATTTTCATATAATTGAGAGCAAGAATAAAGGAAGAAATAAGAAATAACGGAAAAGATCCAACTTTTGAAGAACCGATAAGGCCAAATAATGGTGGGAAACAAGATCTCGCTGGGATCTCTAGTTTGCAATTCCAGGTTGCAACAAATGATGCAAATTAACTTTGCACAATTTCAATTGCTTAGACAAAAATCAATATTCTTATAAAACATATTGCATATAGCAGAAATATCTGCCCTTTCAGAACCAGAACTGCAAATCTATAGTTTTGTTGATCATTTGGTTTGATTACATTTTAATTTTCATTGTAGTGACCAGGTGAGCAACTTCCAGTTGATGAGGGACATTGGTTTGACATCAAGGTTACTACACATCCTCAAGGATACAAAACTCTCTGAGGCTACCATTGACACTATCACCAATGTTGTGTACGTCCTATTACAGGGTCCTCCAGACCAACACAGCCTACTAAGGTAACTCTTTATGACTTTATCAGGGATGTCTGATCAATATGTCAGATATGTCTGATCAATATGTCAGATTTGTCTGATCAATATATCAGATATGTCGACTTAATCGAATAAAGGTCTTCACTACTTCATCAGAAATGTCTTAAGACTTAAATCTTAAAGATACTTACCCAGTAATCAACCCATGTATGGTAATAAACTCACTCATATCTAGTGCTGTTTTGTAGAATTACAAGCAAACATTGAATCAGAATATATATGGGTTTATTGAAGGCTACAGATGTTGATAGATATGCCTAATTATACCCCCAACCCACAGCCCCGAACCCTCAGCCCCCATCAGCCCCCAACCCCAGCCCCCAACCCTCAGCCCCCAACCCTCAGCCCCCTTCCCTCAGCCCCCAGCCCTCAGCCCCCAACCCCCAGCCCCCTCTCTTGCTATGAAGGTATTAAACATGGATTGCTCTGCCTACCTTATATAAGTTATAATGTAGTGTTGTGCTATCTAACAGTATTATAATTACATTCCACAGGCTTGGTCAGTTTATTGTGTCCACATTACCTCAGATGTCTGCAACAGAGAAAAACATTGTGCTGAATGGGGTCAACCAGTCCAAGGGTTCTCCAGCCACGCAGGGAGATAACTCTGCAGGTACAAATACAGCCGGGTCAAGTCTGTCAAAGTGACTGCCAAAGAGAGTAGTAGAATCATGTTGTCAGTTTAGGGCAAAAATTATACAATGTCTACTACCCAAAGTTTTAGCCCAAATATATAATATCATACTGATATCTGATCTCCAGTAAATCGATTAAAACGTACAGATCTTCCCTTAATTAATGATACAGGAAAGAAAGGGTCAAAGTTGAATTGATTAATGTAAGTTATAGCAGATGAAGATGATAAGGACAGATCATTGTCTATACAGAAACCTCTTTATCAGAGTAAGTAGGCAGGTGTTTGTCTATGTCTATGTTTCCTCTACAAGAACTCGGTCTTTACTCGCTTTATCAAAATATGAAGTAAAAATAAAACATTTGGATGATCTATTTCAGGGGGAGATGGAGAGAAGACGTCAGTGTATACCATCAAATTGAGGAATACCTGTCTGGAGATAATCCTGCGACTGTTACAGGACAATACATCTACTGCCCTTTCACAGTCAGTATCCCATCTAAGTAGACACAACACTTACAGCAATGTGTTATTGCAAGATCAGGTTCAGTTTAACAGTTCTAGTGCTTGATAATGTATAGAGGTAATTTTGCCAAAGCAGAATATTTTTGTTAAATTCAAATATTCTTGTCTCTTCATATGTCATCCATCTTACATGCTGTAATATGCTTACTCAGCTTCAGACTTTACAATTTTTTGCCTGCTGCCAGGAACTGTCTGAGAGTATACTAGTCTGTCCATCCATCACTCTTTGAGAGATTGTGTTTAGGTCTACTTCTCTGTATTTGCTTTAGGATGTGATTGATTTTGCTCAAAGGGGATCTTGATATATACTGACTTTTAGTGGTAAAATTACCATTTTCATTGCACCCTTACAGGACGTGTGATGAAATACAGAAAGTTCTTGGATTTGATTGGCTGCTGCTGTTTGTACAAGGCCACCTCCACCCATCAACTGTCATCATGTCACTCCGTATCCTCTTGGTGATGCTACAGAACCCTACCGCTGTACAGAAGTTCAGGGAAGGCAATCCTGGTGGGGGCTGGCTCCGGAACACCGAACCTGTCCTTAAACAACATGTAGGGGTCATGTTAGGTGAGAATGCTTGTTGCACTCAGCTTCACTGGCTTTAGTAAATTATTATACAAACATAATCAAATTTTAGCATTGTTGCAAATACAAAGTTTTAACAAAATCCAAATTAAGAAAAGATATTAGTAGTGAAAGTATAGGAAAATGAAAAAAAGAAAGGCCTGGACATTAATGGGATGACTTTATTTGGTTTCTGTTTATTGATTTCAATGACGATGCTGGAATTATTGTAATTTTTCAGGATTAAATATCGGCACAAACAGTAAAGGGGGACAGAAGCGAGAGCTGAATAAAGAGATCTGTCGTGTACCTGGCTTCACTGCCTTACAGTGGCTTCTCCCCAAACATAGTCACGTACCAGAAGTCTACTTCCTGTTGATGGCCCTGTTGCTAGGGCAGCTGGTCAACAAACTTCCTGCTGACTGTCAGGTGTGAAAAAATTCATTACCTCTGAATGTTGTATTGATTGATGTTTATATCTTCACTATAAATCATTTCCTAGTGTATGTTGTAATCATTTGAAAAGAAATAGAGATCATGTTGTGTTACTTTCGTAGAAATGCATATTGGATATCTATAACTTTCATGCGACGCCATAATATTATTTAATGCTACATACTAAACATCTGATAACTGCTATGGAACATATGATGTATTTTATACTAACATTGAAATTGAATCAAACAAAATTTTTACCATGCAGTTGATTTTTGTAAATCCGGTCATCATCAGTCAGTCGAATGTCCTGTTTTCCAGAAAATCTTATGATTACTTTTGTTTGTATATATTTTTTGTCTTCGTTTCAATTGAGAATATTCAGTGAGGTTTTTATATTTAATTGAACAGTTGAATCTTGATGCTGTGTGGACTGTGATATTTGGTGTACCAGCTAGCAAGCCAGTGTCTATAGTAACCAAGGAGAAACACACAGAACTGTGTCCTGATGCTGCACTTGTCATCATGTCCATGATCAGGTCCATGCTTAATTTGGTGAGTACATCATGAAGACAAGACATTTTTTGTTGTAGACTTACCTGAAAAGTTTTTACCTTAAAACATTTTTAAAATTACAGAATGTGGAGCTATTGAATAAGAGGAATACTGGTTGACATTGCATATCTATAATTTCCGTCTTTAAACAATGGAGAACTATCAAACCATTTGGCTACTTTTGGAAAAACATTTTTGCTTTTAACCTTTTCTACAATCATTGACCTCTAACCTACCTGATATTTGGGATGAGAGAAGCAGACATGTATGATTATATAAGAAGAAGATTCTGTGACTCTTCATCTTTGACCTCAAACTTAAGGATACAGAGTTTGAAAGGATGGATAGGGACAAAAGAACTCGGCAATCTTTACTGATTTTGTCCTTGATTTGGTAAAAAAAAAAAAGGATAATTGAGTACAAAGTACCCTTTGACCTTGCATTTAAACTTTAACCTTGCATTTACAGTATATAGAAGATGTGGATAGCTGGTAAAATTATACCTTGTGACCTTAAATTTAACCTTTGACCTTGACCTTATATTTTCAGGATACAGAAGTTGAGAAGGATAGCTGGGTACAAGAGTATCCTGTAACATTGATGCAGTTCCTGTTGTTCCTATACCACAACCAGCCTGAGTTCATTACACTTTCCACATCACCAGAACTAATTGGGAGTCTTGCTGCCACCCTTTTTCCCAGTGTGATTATAGAGTCTGATGGAGGAGACGTCACCACACCAACAGAGGAGTTTAAACCTTTCCCTGACTCAGAGTCATTTGTCAATATAAGCACACCTGAAAATTACAAACCTGGTAAGTGATTGAGGATGTCACCATACTACAGAAGAGTTCAAACGTTTCCCTGACTCGGAGTCATTTGTCAATTTAAGCACGACTAAAACTTACAAACCAGGTAAAAAAGTAATTGTTTTATGTAGAATACTTTATGTAATACTGAACAAAGATGACCATATCTAAAGAATTGATGATATTGTGATTACTTATAATTTGGTATTGTAGGCTTTCTGACTGGACATCCTGCCCGTAAGTTTGTGATAGACTTCTTGCGGACCATTGTGATAGACAGTTTCTCTCAACAGATGTCATACAAGTCCACCACAATACTGGACATTGTTCTTGATGTAAGTTAATTTGGATGGGTTTACTCCATGTATCTGTAGTGTTACATTGGAATTAACAATACATTTAGATATTTCAAACTGTAAACTTAAGCTTGAATTTACCTGTAAATTACTAAAGTTAGATCCATGCAAAAAGGATAGAAACTTGCCGGAGAAATTTTCTGTTACAAAGAAGGCATTCCAAATCTTGATCTTATTATTTGTAGTTAATCTGTCGAAAACCATCTCATAATTTGATGTTGTAATCCTTTTTCACAATAAAACAAAGAAAAAGGAAAGCACAGAGATCGTCCTTCTTTTATCACGTAACTGCCGTGTAATAACCTCATGTTCAGCTTTAACATAATATCATGCAAATGTTTCAAACAAAATTTTCAATCAACACCACAGGCATTCAATAAGATCACATGTGAATATAAACCTTGTTCCTTGATATACATTACATACAATGTACCAAGCATGTTAGTCCAATTGGATTCATAAACAAGTTTTTCAGCTACTTGATAAGGTGCTGAATAAATGATACAGATATACTGTATATTGTTAATATTTTCAGGCATCACCTGAAAATGCATCACGAGCACAGAGGAAGGAATACCAGACAGAAATTATGAAGACAGTGATGGATCATTTATTGGCAGCAGATGTGTTACTAGGAGACCAAGCAGCATTGCCTATTGGGAGTGGTGGTAGCTACACAAATATGGCTAACAATGTCTTCTACTTCGCCAGTCGACTTGTCGATAAACTCTGGCAAAGTAAGTCTATCTCTTGTGAAATAATTAAATTTTCGTACAATAACATTAAGGGATTTCTGATTTTTGCATATTTTTATTGATTTTGAATCCATCAATTGGGAATGCTGGTGCACTAAGGTAATAGCAGATATTTTCATCAAAGAATAATTTTTTTTTTCTCAAAAATCTGTTAAGATATGTTAATTGTTTATTAGGAATGTTTATGTCTAAAACGATGCAATAAACTAAATTTGATTGATAAAGTGTTAATATTTCTATAAGAAATTAATTTTTCAAATGATTGCATTATGTAGCAGGAGTATGTTGCAGCTCAATGATCAGATATGCTTTCACAAAACATAAGACAGATTTCATTTGATTATTTCTGGTTTGAACAGATGTGTTCACACGGGAGTCAAAAGAAGTATTTGAATTCATCAGTAAACTCATCCAGCAAGCTAAACGTAAAGGTATGTAAACATATTGTTATCCGTTTGTTAGATTATCACCATGTCAACAGTCAAGGTCATTTTGAAGTCGTGTCTCCACGGGAAAATTTCTCACTGAACATCATGTAGAAACTCTGCTACTTACTATCCAGAACAAAGTGGGTAAACAGCGTTATTTCCAAGGACGTCATCACAAGAATACATGATAGTCTATGGTCCCAGCTTCCTGAGAAATGCAAAACTGCCCTGATAAGGGATTGAACCTCATACATTGGGTCTCCTGTTGTCCACTAGTCTGATTCCCTGTCAGCTGAGTTATAGCTGTCCCTATAGTAATATGAACCCAAGTATATAGATTTAGCCAGGTTAGAAAGATTATTTATTTTGTCTACATATTAGTAGCTTTGTCAGAAAATATTCCTTGAAGGGCTGATATGGTCTATTTGCTTTAAATATAATTATTTTGAAATTACTCTGGTATACCAAAGTGTTTTGCAATTCTTTGATATTCCAAACTTGTTTTGTTATGTCTAAAACTATAGTCCTTGAAAAGTTAAAACAAGTTTTTAGCTAGTAGGCTTGTACCGGTAAATAAAAGAGTAATTGAGAAAGAAAGGATTAATTGACCATTGGTATTTTGCATATCTTTATCTGAGAAATATTGGAATAAATCATAAAGTTGGTTAAACAACATTTCAAATATCCATATGTTATATGTCTGGCTAAATTTGTAGATGAAAAATTATCTGAGATGCCTGTTGTAGTGGTATTGATGCTTGACAGTAGCCCACAAGCTACCGGTATATGGTGATTGACCTCTTGTTATGTATTTTATGTAAAATAGCAATACTCTTGACGTAGAATTTAGTAGAATTATCTTTCCAATGAAGCCTGTGATAATTATTTTCATTTCAGCCTCAGGAATCTCATTGGACCTGATATATCGGTCACTGAACAGGACTGTACTGTTCCAGCTGTCCAGGCCTATACAGTCGGTGGCTGTACAGACAACCGTTCTGGATGCCCTTCACAAACTGACCAGTAATCGTGGTCTGGTATTTGGACCAGCAAATTATGACCAAGAGTTTCTAGTGTGTCTGTGTTACTGTCTTCTTCAACTTACTGAGGATCCTAGTCAGAGGTACATACTGTTTGTCTCTGTATCAAGAATGTCATTATTTTCTACTTCTCAACATTTGTGACATAAACAGATTGTGGAGAGAAAACTTGAAACATTGTTATGCCAAGTGAAGTAGGATGTTAAGGGTATTACCTGTATATGTATGACTGTGTTATTCTAGCATCTAGCATTGACTGTCTTCTAGGAATAGGACCACATGTTGTCAGCCTTAGGTTAAACAAATACAACATTACTAGGAAATAAGACCTGTGATATCTGTGTAGTGTTGTCTAGATATAATTCCATTGTTAGATCTGACTGGTTTAATTACTAAATTGTATCTTGTCAGTCTTTTAAAACAATTTTTGAAGAGATATTCAAGTGACATAAAGGTTATTTAAGTAAGATGTGTATCCAGTACATATGAAATTGGATGGTTGCTGAAGAAAATACTGCTTGCTTATATGGTATAATTTGAAATAATCTTATATCTCAGTTGTCCCTGTTTGATAAGACTTGATTCCTAATGTAAGGTATTTTTCCAGTATAGCTGGAAATATTAATCTCTTGGCAGACCAGTTAACTTGAATTTTCACTCAGGATGAAATCCTCACTGATATCATTTAGGAGCACATATATAAAATGGTAAATTGTGTGTTCATTTGCTCCTTGATTGTACAAGTGACACCTGTTTCAGTGCTGCCAATCTACATGGGGGTAAAGCCATGCGTACAACCTGGCATGTTAACATGGAAGAGGGTGAAGAGTTCACCGATGAAGTGGCGGATCTAGCATACATGGAGCTCAGCTCTAGTGTCCTAGAAGGACACCACCTGGTGGCGAATGCGGCCAAACGTGTGTGGGAAGAATTGTACGCATGTAAAAAACCTGTAAGTAACAAAATATTTATTAGAGATGTTGGGTAAAAAATGAAGTCACAACGTGTTTAAGGGAAAGTACCTTCCTGTCAAATGACAAGTCCTTTGAAACATGAAAATGGTCTATGTAGGAGTGAGTTTATATCAGATTCTGGTCTAGTTCAAATCATTTATTAACCACTTTCTGTTCTTGATATATAATTTTTCGTCTGGTCTTACTATGTATGTTTTCCTTGTCTATGTGGATTAGGTTCTGGAAGAAGTGTTTAAAACTCAGCTGAACAACATAGATCCAGCTAGTTCAAAGATTACATCACCAGACCTAAGCTCTGTCAGGTAAGCAGATTGGCTACTATTGATAGCTGTTCTAGTTTGGTGGTGAAACCAACTGTTAACTTGAAAATTGATATTATTTGAATATCATTTGAAAATACAGTCATTCTTTGACAAAGTCTGATTTTGAAAATTGTCAAAATTTGAAAATAAACTGTTATTTTGATATTTCTTGCTTTCAGAGGATTGATACAAGAAAATTCCTCCAAGGTGTGGATTGCCTATGCTGACTCTGAGAGGAAGGGTAACATTTCCTACACAGAGAGACTTCCAGCTCAGATACAATCAGTAAGTCCTTGCCAAAATCAAGAATTTCCAGACACTTGATTTTTTTATGCCAAATTTTCTGGATAATTTTCATCTATATTTAAGAGAATACGGCTGGTAAACATCATCATTTATGACCTTTAACTGTCTGATGTTAAATATAGATGCATTTGAATTCTTATAACATCTCCTTTGCTCTGAAGGCTTTGCTTATACTACAATATCACACAACTGCCTATCTTTCAACTTTCTCTTAACTTCCAGCTTTTTTTTAAGATTTAAAAAAAAAAAGAATTGAAACCTACCATTTTTCTGGGTGATCTAATTCATACTGTATGAGTTTATTTGAAATCTTAATCAATATCATAGAATTGGAATATAATCAATCTTTATAAGAAAATGCACGGAATTTGTTAAGTTGCAAAGTAATAAAATAATATTTGATTGAAATGAATGCTGAAATTTGTAGCGAAGTTATGAAACTCCTGATGTTATTAATGTTACAGAAACTACAGAAGGTTGGGAGTGGCATGTTAAGACTTGCAACAAGAAAACCCAAGAAGGAACTGCCCCTAAAATCCTCTCCCTCGTCAAACGTCCACATGACAGTGAGTATCATCAAATTCCTAAAATTATTCTGCCATTACATTTGTATCCTTTTCAAAAGAGTTAATTTTATAAATCAAGTTGTATTTTTGACTTGACTATTGGATTAAGTATGTTGGTATGTTGTGTACGTCACAAACCTTCACTTTTTACCTCACAATTTGATACAAAAGTATCTGATGTCGACTGCTTCTCAATAATTTTCATAAGAGTTTTATTTACAATAATATCCAACAGTTTACATGTAGCCCTCTACTTGAATTCTTTTTTGTATCTTACCATTTCCATCATGTATTGACAATCGACAATCCTGTCTATAAATTTGGTTGTTAGTAGTAGTAGTAATTGTTGTGTTTTTAATTGTTGAAAAAACAGGAAGTAGAAGGTTTTAATATGTGATAAATCTGTAATGACTTTGTAAACTTGGCCTGTCAGGCTGGAAAAGTCTGTGTTAAAGGATAAAAGCATGAAGGAAAGCTCCGTTAAAAGCAGTGTTGTACAACTTATATTTTTTGTTTTATTTCTGCAGGACTACATTTCTTGGACACTTACACACATGGCTATAGTCAAGGACTTATCTCAGCTGCAGTTTCAGCAATATATTCATGTGAGTCTTTTTTCCTGATGATGGCCTAATGGTGCACATTTCTTCACATAAAACAGTTGTTGTAAGGGAATGTTTTTTCCCATAATTTTTTTCCATTGTTAAATCTAATGTCTAGAAATGTCTTAATCTAATCACAACCTTAAACATTTATTGGTTAATATATGAAGCTTCCATCAATAAAATAAGAATGAAAAAAGAAAAAGCTGGTGATAATGTAATAATATGTCAATGACATATTACACAGGGTCAAGAACACATGGCAAAATACCTGGCTGAGGAGTGGGCCCAAACAGAAGGAGAACTACTGCGAGAGAAGGGCTTGTGGGGGCCACATGTAGGAAGTCGACTGGATAAATGGCAGTCAGACATGACAGAAGGTGAGTGATATCCCTTTCTTGGCTAAAGATTGTTATACTAATTATCTTGCATAAATTATAAGATAACGCTTACACTAAAGTTAAATGATTATCAGTGGACATTTTGTTAGCCTCAGAAAAGATTATTAAAGATCCAAGACTCAGATGGCCATTCAGTGGCTTTTTCTATACCACACATATGACAGTATATATTTGAGGAACAAAATTGTCTACATTGGACACCACTTAAAAATTGATGTCATTCTACTAATAATGGCGGCAAAGCTTACAGCAAATTCTGCTTTTGTGTGTGTAGAGTAAACACATCAGATATTGTAGACAGAGAAATCCATGTTGTGTTAGGGAACTCATTTAGATGAATGTTAATAAACCAGCCATCATCATTTAAAATAGATATGACTTTATTGGGATAGATTCCTGTACTAGGCAGATAATTATAATGTACTGATTAACTGTTTGATGTTGGTCCCCAGTTCAAAGAGGGGAGATTTTAAAATAATTTAAAGACCTTCTTGATTCGAAAGCTGGTGCAAAGACATATATTCTGTTGTAGGTCCATGTCGCATGAGGAAGAAAATGGTGAAGAACGATCTCTTCTTTCAACACTACCCCTACCGACCCGACATGGAGGATAGTGTAAGTTAAATGCTGTCAGCATTTTGTCTGGTCACATTGAAATCTTTGAGACTGTTATACAAAGATCACTTTTTGGGGTTTTAATTGATGAAAATGACTATTAACCAAACCTTTCAGCAAATAATTAATAGATTTGCTTTAAAACTAAGTATTAACATGTCTTTTAACTGTTTGCTGATTTGAGATACACAGAGATTATAAGGGTTTTTTCAGCCATGATTATAGAACATGTTGACTCATGTGTCAGACATAATATATTAAGATTTTAACTTTTACATCATTTTACTGTATATTTCAGCCCCTGAAGTACAAGATTGCCATGAGTTATGATAGTAAAGAATTTTATGAGCGCTACAGGCCTCAGACCCTTGTGGAACATGGCAAGGAAATACTGCCAATACAGATGGGTGTGGATAGTGGGTTGACAGGGAGTTCAAGTGGTGGACAGGACGAGGACAGGTCCCCAGTCGGTAAGTGTTGTATCCTAGCTATGATAATGTCAGTATCTTAAAAGTCATTCAAAGTCATTTATTATCATAAATGATACTGTTGTATGCTGCCAGTGGTGTTATATAGGTTCTTTTTCAAATACTTCAGTGGAATGATAATAGTAGTGAAACAAATTTATAAAATCTCTTTTAATAGATCTTTCAAACTGTTGAACTGCTATTTGCTTGATATGCAGAAGCATGTTCATTTATTGCAAACAGGAAAAGAATCAGTTTCAGTAACTGATATAAATATGTGTCATTTACAGACTTAATTACTAAGTATTGTAGTATTTTGATTCCTTTGTTTCTGTTTCATGTAGATATGCTGAGTATGCCTAAGTTACTCCCACAGTCTAGTGGCCAGAAGTCATCAGAGGCCGATGATGACCTTGATGAGACTACTGCGGAGGGTGACCTGGACAAACCAGATAATCAGGAGAATGTTGGGGAAACCGTGACAGAGGTCCATTCTGGGGGCAAATCTGACAACAACCAGACCATTCTCAGGATCCTCGGCGAGGGAGAAAAGGTGAGACAGAGTGATGGAATTAGATTGGAGTAAAGGAGTTGGGTTGATAGGAGGAAAGCAAGACACTCTGGGTCTATTTTACTTCTTCTGCTACGTGACACTAGATTTATTTATATATAAAGAAAGTAAGACAAACTAATTTAAATTGGTTGAACGAGATTGAAATAAAGAAGTTGAGTCAGACAGATTCACTGATCTTTCTGTGTTGGATAATTGAAAATAAAGAATGCGAGACACATCTGGGGTTGAATTTGTCATGTTTGGGGTATGGAAGCAGAAAGCATTTCTGATAAATTTTCCGAACAGGCACAAGAATGCCAAACATTTCTTATCATAACAAAGATCTTAGATCAGTGTAAATGAAATACAGAATGCATTCAGCAAGTTAACTAACTAGATCTGTCATGAATATCTTATAAATTGATCTCTTGTATTTCTTCCCCAGATAACCAACATATTCCGATGTGCACGGATACTTGGATTAGATACAGCAGAAGGCCTTCTTTTGTTTGGTCGGGAGCACTTCTATGTTATAGATGGTTTCACCATGCTAAGGACTCGTGAGATCCGTGACATTGACAGTCTACCTCCAGAGTATGTATACACAATAACATTACCAGTGATAGAGATAGGTGTATGACCTATATTTGTACTCAATATTTTCACGTCATTGAACTCATATCAAGACATATGTTGTAGTCTATGGGACACTTTTTTAGTGATTTTTCCTTTGATCAGGAATCAGAAATTTTCAAGAGAAGAAAGTTTCACAACAACATAAATATGTACCGTAAAAACCCATGTAATGTCCGCACTATTTTTCACCGAAAATCAATCCAAAAAAGGGGGTGCGGACATTACAGAGATATAGAGGAAATGACACTTTTTTCCTTCCGACAATTCATATCATATCTCCTTGAATTGTGTTCTTAAAAGCCAAGCATACCTGATATTATCGTTCTATGGTTTTTTCTATGATGTTTCCTCAACCAAACATGATTATTTATGATTATTTATTATAGTTTCCATGGTTAATTCCTTCCAATTTCTCGTTACAGGTTCGTATTGTGTCGTCCTTCGTAATAGGAAGCCATTTTGTTTGACTTTGTCACATGAATAAAGTTAGAGTTATTCCCCTTCCCCCATTGAAAAAGCATACTCATGAGCATATACAAAATAACACAACATTTTCATTCTACATTTTATTTACAAAATAATAAATGACATGTACAAGAATATTACATAAAATAAATAATCAGACGTTTTATTGATTATGGATCGTTTATCAGAAAGTCTTAATACATAGCAGGCCGGTTTAATAGCGTTTCTCGAAACCACAGAAGTCGTCGTCGTCACTGTGGAAGAACTCCTCGGCGTTGAAGTTGTCTTCCTCTGTCTGGTCGTTGTAATAAATGGCGTTCTCGTCGTCTGATGGTGTGTCAGTAGGGTCAGTGGCGCCGTGGGTCATGGGCGGGTCATGTTACTGTATAGTTATCGTTAATTGGCTAATCACACCCTGTCACTCACTCACACTCGAGGTGAGGAGACGACCCAAGCTGTTTATAACACTGCTGGGCTAACCCTTATCAAAACACCAATTATCGAAATGAGGACTTGTCATACTGTTAAGCTTACTGTACCATTATGGAGAATAACTGTTGTTATAAACAATTAAGTGAATTCTTGAATGGTACCTGTAAGTTATACACAATGCGACATGCTCTCGGCCATTACGACATTAGCGTACGTGAAATGAAATTGGCAGCTTCAATTTGCATTTTTTACCCGCGGACATTACATGGAAGGTGGGTTTTTTCCCCAGATTTTTGTGTCAAAAAAGGGGTGCGGACATTACACAGATGCGGACATTACGTGGGTTTTTACGGTAATCTGGGGGTCATGGTTATCCCATTCACTGACGATCCACTCGCAAATGTCTGTCAACTTCTCTGTTTGCCCCCTTTTGTGAATGTATGTTTAGAATTGTCCATCATCCACTCGTTCCAAGCAGCGTGCAGTGAGACCTTCATGGGTTTATTCACTCCCACATCGAGTGGTTGAAGGATGCTGGTCATTCCTCCGGGTATGAAGTTGTGTGTTGTCGTCAGACAGCATTTCTTTGACGTAGGGGGATCAGTGACAGCGGAATGAGTCTAAAACTAGAAGGTTCTTCTGGCGAGTGTTAGGTCTCTTTCATTGTCGTTTCGTTCATCCATACTTTTTTATGGACGCGCACAATCAATCCCTGTGGGAAGTTTCCAGTGTGTAGGGTCTTTCTCTTGAAGATGACGTAAGGCGGAAGTTTAGTGCCGTCATGGACACAAACTTGCCATTGGTCAGGGCTATAGTAGTGTCTGAGGGTAGATCGAAAGTAAGCAGTGTTTGGTCGGCATTCCCAATCCTTGACGGGTCAATTTCATATTTCTGCCTTATTTTGATGTTGTATCTCTGGAATTATATTAATTTGTCTTCGTAGTCATCCGGAAGTTTTTGGGCGATTGACGTTCTCCTCCAGATACTTAGCATATGTCTTTTCATAAATCGGACAGCCCAACCCATTGATGCGTTAAAGTCGGTGACCCCATGACCTCTCTTGATCTGCATGGCCCACAGTGGCAGTTCTGTTGTATTGACAGTGATGCCGGAATCTTGGCGATCGCATACTAGGTTGAACAGCTCTCTCTCCATCTCTGGGTATTTCGCTGTCGCACCTTTGTCAGCCCCCCACCCCACCAAAACATCTCGTGATACACTAGTGTACACATTTAATGAATATAACTAAAAAGACGGAAGGTTTATACTTCTAACCCACTCGCATAAACCTTATCATATGATGTAAAAAGAAAAATACTTAATTTCAATTTCAACAAATTTTATTGCTCAATATAAACAATTGAAGCAAAGGGATCAGGCATCAGGCATAGCCTATTTAACCTTATCCGTTTGGCAACAGATACATTCAACATCATTACTCAGTAACAAAGATATTAAAATATAACTGAAATTGACATGTTTTTCAAAAATAGTTAGAGCATATGAACAAAGTATCCCAGAAAATATATGAGATAATATATATGTACAATATAATCTATTTTTCCCATGCACAACATGCACCGATTGCTTAGATAAGTATTGATAAATCATTATCCAGTATCTAAATGGTACAGCGTCATGTGGTACATGCAGTGCACGGGGGACAATATATGATAATGTTGATACATGTAAACAATGGGGTGGAGACACAAAATAAACAAGATTACAAACATTTTCATAAGGAGAACCAACAAAAACATAAGTTCATAGTTTCAAAATCTGCAAAGGGCTTACTTACATACAAGTATTACATATAAGTTTACAATTTTTACGATAATCAAAAATATTATCTGAACTAAACTGATTTTTATGCATGAAAATTCGTCACTAATGACATGCATGGGCAAACATCGGACTATTCCAATATGGAAAGGTAAATCAAGTCTTTCAACAATAATATAGTTGACAGACGACGAAGTTGCTTGGGGCATACATGTACATGTACCTAGTCAAAATTACATTTTCTTTCTTATAGTTACATTTTAAATTAAAATCCGATATTTATAAGGGTTCGAGTGTGCGATGCCATTTAACCATAGTAAAAATAGAAAACTGCTTGGTTCGTTTGTGCACATATGTGTAGTAATGTGTTCGATAATAAAATTTGGATCATTCCATTTTGGGGGACGGAGACATTATATAATCATAACAACCATCCGTGTTGGCCAACTGTGTGAGATAAAACACACGTACATTACACGTGGGACATGCCCGTGCTACATGTACACTACTGACTACGTGTAACTCTATAGTGTTTCAACAATTATAGACAGAATAACAAATAACAATATTAATCAGATGTTTCAGTTAAGCCGTCACATCAATCGGATTATAATGCAACAACATAGTAACTACAATTTGGTTTCAACATAACGTTTATGATATAACACTATACAAAATGCTTGTAGCACTATGCATATTTTGGCTTTACTTGGATAATTTATCACTGAGAGTGACCATCCGGGAACCGTGTACGCACATGTCCATGTAATATATGGAATTGCCATAAGTTTATTGCGGATTCAAGCACAAATATTGTTACAAGATGAAAAATTGATATTGTTACAAGATGAAAAATTAATATTGTTTCAAATTAAATGGTTTTAGTTTACTCGATAAATGCGTTTTCTACATTTGTGAAATCAATATATCACAAGTAATTTATATATACAATGATCTTCATTTGAATTTAGATCAGTTGTGTGACTTTTACATGCACTAAAATGACAAAATTGCAACTAAGCATGACTTCTTAATCTGTCACCATATATCCATAAAGCGTACACATATTTTGTTTTACCTTAAATGTTTAACATACAAATGCAATGCATTATTTTCCTAGTGCATCACTCAGTTATAGACTTGTAGTAATTTTACAATGTAATATTATTAAAATACCTTTTAATTAATTATTTATGCTTACATAAATATATGAATTATATTTTTAACACATTTTAATAGTACCATAAAATGGAGAAAAATATACATGTATATGTGCGACTAAATTAACTTATCACATATATGGATTATTCTCACATATTACTATATAATATTATTATTATGTAAATCATAAGTATACTAGTATAAAGAGACTTTAATATAGGTCTCTGTTATATATATGGTACATTAAATTGAGTGTACTGTAAACATTTTAATCTATATATATTATATAAATTAACAAGTCCAGACTATGGAAGAATCCATTTCTGTTCAGCATACATTTGCATGTTGTGCATATTTTAGTCCATTTGGGAGGTGCCGATATGGGAAGACGTTGCGCGAGAGTCCTGGGTCCAGATTTCCGGGGAGGGGGGTCGGGATAGTTCTGGATCTCACGTAGCGAAGTGACCTGTGTCTTCCGCTGGTTGTTATCGCGGATAACGATGCGACCATAATCTTGCCTCGTAGACAGAAGCGCGAGTACGGTACGACACAAATCTGACAATAATGTCTCTAGGACGATCAGGATTTTTAGGACCGACACGGTGTGTTCTGCTAATGTCGCCCAGAACAACCGCGACACCTAGGGAGTTATTACACGCACTCATAATAAGGTCGTCAGTACTCTCTCCTTCAGACTCAGGGATACCGCGAAACTTAAGACAATTGCGGCGGGAATACTGTTCCATTTCGTCCATTCTATCCCTCAATGAATTTATCTCTGCCAGAAGGTTGTCGATACCCATAGACGACTGTAGCGTCTTTTTAAAAATATCATTGTCCATGAGTATACCCACAACCTGTTTGATGGTTTGGGGGTCCTTCAGTGCGCTAAGTGTTTCTGTTTTTAACTTTCCCAGCCGTCATATTAACAATAAATTTTCAGAATAATCAATATCTACACAGACTTTAGGCACTAAATGAATGGTGAGAAACTGTAACTGTCTGTAACGTTGAGTCCTTCAGAACACATACATGTATACACACGTGTACGTCTACGATAGCACAGGCTTTTTGTGCACTCCAGGTGTGGCGAATGTTCACTTGATTGAATGTTAATATTTGAGACAAAGACGTGGTATGTCGGAACAATATTCAGAATTTCAC